GGACAGGATGGCAGGTGAGACCCTGCCCCCTTCCCTCCCTGGGTCTCACCAGCTCCTCCTGCATAGCTCCCAGCTCCCATTCCCGCTCCCCAGCCCATTCCTGCCCCCCAGTCCGTCTGCTCTCTGCCCATTCTTTCCTGGGGACAGATTTAAGGTTCCAGCACTCGGCCTTAGCACTGCACACAATCTTGGAGCCACTTTGTTTTTCCTACACCCTGGGACAGCTGTGGCCTGTTGGATCCTTCTTTTTCTTCTTCTATTAAGTTTTTTTTAATTTAAGATACAGCGGGAACATCGTGAAATGCTCCCCTCCTGCCCAAGGCCGGTCTCCTCCCCAGGAGCAACCACTGGTACTGTGGGTTTTGTCTCTTGGCAGATACTTTCTGGGAACACAGCAGACGTGCACCAGACTTTTGTTCCTCTTTTATTTTCACACCAGTGGGCACACCCGTGCGTGCCGCCCGCATCTTGCTGTTGTCACTCGACTGACGGGGATCTCGGGCGGGTGTGCGCCGTTCCTGTCACGCCTGCGTGCCGTCCTTCCATCCCATGGACTGCACCTGGCTTTAATGCCCAGCCCTCGGGGACATTTGTGAGGTTCCCAGGGTCTCGCTCTTGTGAACACCGGGGCAGTGGCGAGGTGTTGCTTTCCTTAACGGTGTTTTAATCATTGCCGCCTGATGAAAGAAACCCCTTGGTGCCATGGGTGGGATGTGGCCCTCCCCTTGGTCCAGCGTGCCATTTGGAGAGGCTACACAGCCAGGCCCGGCTGCTGGGACGCTGATTCACCTGTGTCAGGGCCTCGGCTGCCAAGTGCAGGCACCCCCAGGGGGTGGGCAGGGTCTGTGGCACGCAAGCTGGTCGGGGCTGCCATTCGCTCATACGCCCCCAGAACCTGCTACACCCCAGGCCCTGCCAGCACCACAGTCACCAAGGGACCCAGGTGGACAGTCCCCCGGCTGGGAGTGACAGCCAGAAAGACCAGGCCCAAGCAGGAGGCTCCCAACTCCCCTCTGGGACTGGCCCTGGAGTTCACTGGGCACTCCTGGGGGTAGGACGGGGGAAAGCGAGGAGGGAAACTGAGACACAACCTCCCTTTGCCTGCAGGCCGCAGGAGGAGCCGCCCGCAGAAGAGGACCTGCAGCAGATTACGGTGCAGGTGGAGCCTGCGTGCAGTGTGGAGATCGTGGTCCCCAAAGAGGAGGACGCAGGGTGAGCCTGGCTGGGCGGGAGGTCAGGGCGCCCTCCCGCTGCGGACCGGGAGGAGCCAGGAGCATTCTGAGGTTTCGTCGTGAAGCCGTTCTTATTACTGGGTTGTATTCGCAGACGGTGGATTTCCCCATAAGGTTATTTTTTGATTGAAGAGAGTGGTTCTTCACTAGCCGAGGTGATCCTGGCCCCCAGGGGAAACTGGGCGATGCCTGGGGGCATTTGTGGCAGTGAGTGGTGGCCAGGGACACTGCTCAGCATTAGCCTGCAGTGCCCGGGTTGGCCTCACCCCAGAGAAGGACCTGGTTCCAGTATCCACAGGGCCCAGGCAAGAGACCCTGGGTTAAGGGCTGTGTAAGAACATCTCTGAACCTCCAAGCGTTTAACGAATATTTTTTTACCTTTTTAGTATTTATTTTGTTTTATTTTTAATTTTAATTTCTTTATTTTTATTTATTTATTTAT